TTATCAATCTGTAATAAAAGACGTGAGGAAATTCTGTCTTTTTTAAAGACAAAAATTTTTGAGGCGAAATACCCAAAAAGAAGTTTGTAAAAAAAACTTTAGCTTATTCTGATATTTATTATTATTATTATTTATGTCAAAAATAATTGCAGTTTTGTCTCAAATTTTGTTTGATACTTAAAACGAATTTCAAAACTTTTTACAAAGCGACAAAGGAGGCTCGGTTATAATAAAATGTATTTTATAAGTTTTCGCAGAAAATACTTTAAGATTGTCAGTATTTTTAAGCAAAAGTTTAGAAAATTGATCGATTAGATGAAAGAGTATCTGCTAAAACTGTACATTACATAGAATTGCTTTTTGATCAACATAAATAGTGTTTGTGCCCCGTCTGTTTGTCCGAGTACAAGTTGAGTTTGTCTCATGGAGTAGCCATTCTGACTGTAGCTGAATATATGTTTATATTTTCTAGTATTTATTTATAATTTCCTTAATACCAATTTATCTGTCTTTTCTTTAATATCTATTTATAATTTGCTAATGTTTAATCGGTTTTACTCAATACCCATCTAAGAGGAAACACTATTGAAGTGAATATATCTTACACTATACAGGATGTTGCATGAAAATAGGCTGCTATCCGTAACTTGAAAAATACAATTACAAAAATCCCGAAGAGTTTAGGTATTAATGTCGTTCCTCCAACTTCAGTTTTGAAAAACTACTTTTTTTCAAAACCATCTTTAATTATTAGAAAACATCGCCACAGATTATCCATTTAATCAGCGTGTTGGTTACGCTGTTTAAGCTCTTAGGCATCCACATTTTGAAAAGCTCGCAATCTTTTGTATCATATTATTTGTATGTAGTTCTATGTGGAAAAGTGCTTTTAATTTTTGATACAGTTTTTGGTAAATTTTAAGTTCAAATTGTATAAGTTAATTAACGTGTTTATTGTGCACATTCTAAAAACCAGTTAAACCTCACGTAGTAAATAAATTTCGATTAACAGTATACAATCTACACTGTAATAATTATTTTTCCACTGTCTTTGCATAAAGAGTTGTATAAACAGTAATATAATTTAATCCTTGCGACGAATCATGTGCATTATTAATAATTGAGTTTGCTTTCTATCAGTAAACTTCTGTGCGCCCAATCAAAATATCTAAATATCTACAGCTTACTGTAGATACTTCATTGCTGTTGTACTTTCGTTAGAATATGTAAATTATACTACATGAAAATATATTCGATTTCTCTGGATGGAGATCTTCTGGATCTTAACAGACAATGAAAAGTACTGATCAACAATTTTGAATTCCAAATAATTAAACTGATTGAAATAGAAACTGATTATCTTTTAATTATTAAATTAATTCCGTTTCATTTTACGGCTTACATAAATGCAAGACCTGCAAGAGTCTTGCTGCAAGACCAAGACATGCATCTAGCATGAATCATCGAAAGGGCGATCAATTACATGATTAAATAATCATGTTTATTCTGTAGTTCGGTGTCTTTTATTCCCGAAAAGGTATATGAATGCTCAGGTTGCCACCGACAGTGGAGGAAACCGGTCGATAACTCTTTGTGTCCTGTGAAACGCGTTCTTAGATAGGAAATAGTTATGGCAAGTGCGGTAGTTTGTGAAAGTGTGGCGATCTTTTTGAGGATTAATGCGTAGAAAATTGAGGATGGGACGTCTCCTTGCAGAGAGCTGGTAAGAATGATCTCTGAACTGTTTAGTTTTCCGACGAGCAACTGAAGTTTTATGGATTATTTACATTTCTGTCTCTTTGCTTTTTCCTGCTGTACTAAACACATTTTCTGCTTTCTTTCCAGGTGGCACGAGGCAGCTTTCGGTAAGTTTATCATTACTTTGCCCCTGGTAGAACTTTTAGTCCCATATTTGTTTACATGCAAGTTTACGCCAAAATTTCAATTAAAAAAGTGTCTTCTACAGAATGTCAATATTTCAGTTTCTACTGGCTTCACTTTGGAAGTCCGAATTTTCTATTAGAGTCTGCAGTTGCGTAAAAGCGTTTATTTTCAGATCAACATTCACGAAGCGCGCAAAATTCAGGATATGATTTGAATGAATTTTGAACGAACTGAATACTAAAAGCATCACTCTGAACTTGTAGAGTATTTTTCTTGTAAAAAAGTCAGCACATTCTTTATGAGTAACGTTTAACCAAATGGTTGACTGCAATTGTTCATAAAATTTGTTAATTTTTCTGTGGCAATACAACGAATTTTGATTGGAGGATGGGGCACCAGCTTGCAGAAAGGCATTGAAGAGTCTGCAGTTGCGTAAAAGCGTTCGATCTCAAATCATGATTCACGAAGCGCACAAAATTCAGGATGTGATTTGAATCAATTTTGAACGAACTGAATACTGAACGCACAACTCTGAACTTGTAGAGTATTTTTCGCTTCTGATCAATTGATTGGCGAAAAATCCGATGCAAAATGTGCCCGCAACAGCTTTTGAAATCCTGCGCAAAATTTTCTTAACCATGAGTAAAGTTTTTTCACCCATGAAGTTTTCACGGCATTTTGAGCGCCTAACGAAAAAAAGTCAGCACATTCTTTAAGAGTAACGTTTAACCAAATGGCTGACTGCAATTGTTCATAGAATTTGTGAATTTTTCTGTGGCAATACAACGAATTTTGAATGCAACTGCACGGGTGAATCACTGTGCCGGCGCATTGGGTTGGCGCACCAAGCCATTTCCGTATCAATGCGCCAACCCCAAAGCGCAAAGTTTAAACAGCCAAATTGATCGTGTTCACTTGTGTTTTTGGATCGTGGACTTAAACAGTTTTGTAAAAAGTTTGAGCTATTTGAAGACAAAAAGAAATTTGAGAATAATTGTAAAAAAGTTGCATCATTTTTCTGTTTATTGACTAATTAAGGCATGAGATCTGGGGCTAGCGGATGAAGGAATAAGCCAGAGGAGATTGAAAAAATATAACGCAAAAAGAGCGAAGATAACTAGAAGTTAATGAAATTAAGCTCCAATATAAATTTGAAATAATTATTGAACTCAGAACTTCTAATTAATTCAAACTTTGTTTGTTTCTATCATCGCTCGGAAGTTGAGCAACAAATCGGGTTTTTCGTTTAGTCAATATTTTCAGAAAACACCATTAATTCGGTTATTAATTTTAGTTTTGGCGTTTTATAATCACTGCAGCTGAGTGAAATTCAGACAAATATAAATGGCTTTAAATTTAAAATTAATTCAGAGAAAGATCGGCGCTTGGAACGGTTTTTGTTAAGTGAGAACCTGAAATTTGCCGTTGGAAACATTGCAATGCGAACAGGCACTTTCTGCAAAAATGTCAACAATAAACAAACTGAAATCAAACTGCCAAGCAAGAGCAGACTAATGAATCATCGAAAGGGCGAACAATTAAATAATCATGTTTATTCTGTAGTTCGGTGTCTTTCATTCCCGAAAAGGTGTATGAATGCTCAGTTTGCCACCGACAGTGGAGGAAATCCGGGCGATCTTTTTGAGGATTAATGCGTAGAAAATGGAGGATGGGGCGACACCTTGCAGAAAGCTGGTAAGAATGATCTCAGTTCAGAGTTTAGTTTTCCGACAGGCAACTGAAGTTTTTTTGGATTCTTTAAATTTTCCTCTCTTTGATTTGCTGATTTCAAATAAGATTGGCTTAGGACAGATTTCGTGCTGTTATTAAACGCATTTTGTTCTTTCGCTAAAGGTGGCACTACGCAGCTTTCGGTAAGATTAGCATTACTTTGCCCCTGGTTCGGGTAAGTACATGTACAACTTTGGGTTCCATATTTATTAACTGACTCGTAGGGTGGACAAAAAAATTAAGAGTTTCAGTTTTGCCTGTTTGTTGTTTTTATGCGATTTGAATGAACTTTTGAAGGCTTGAAGGCATTTTGATAAGACAGTTAGAGCGCACTCCACTTTACTGAAGGCACAACATTAAACTTGTAGTGCATTTTCGTTTCTGTGAAATTCATTTTCGAAAAACGCGATTTAAAATGTGTTCCCGCAACCGACTTAAAGCTTTTCGAGGCCCGGGGCTGGAATTTCAACACCTAACAAAAACAGGTCACCACATTTTTAGGAGCAATTTTACCAAATGAGTGACTGAAACGCAAGTGCTGCCCCGGTGAGTAACTGTGCCGGTGCATTGGGTTGACGCAACACGCCATTGAGGCAACGCTGCGCCAACTTCTAGTCGTCATGCCTGGTTTTTGACATCTCCGTCTTATTCGACTCAATGTAAGTCTATTACTTAGACTAATTTATAAAATGAAATAAATCCTACCAGCAAATCGCAGGTGAAACATTCGCCATTTTCTAGAGTTATTCCAACAACATCATCTTGGGCGATGGGCAATTGGTAGTTTTTCACCTTGGCACCATCCATAATCGAAAGATTGTTACATTTTTTTGCTTCTTCACTAACAGCCGCTAGCAGTAGGTCATTTTCCACTATATAGGATACAGTATCTGTGTGTTCGGATGAGCCAAAAGTTATCGATGAATCCGATAGGGCGTCCCAGACCTCAAATGCAACCGCCGACGTTAAGAAAGATGTTTTAAACAACGATTAAACCTACCTGCATTCGCCTCACGGTGGCAAACCTATTCTTTGCGATAAAGCTCCAGGCCCCGATATCGTTCAGGAGCTTGTGCGTTCCCAAATTGATGGAAACAACTCGATTGCTGTATTTATCTGAGATGCTCTGCTGTTTGATTTTGCTGCCCTCTAACAATAACAGCTTCTTGTTGCTCAAGATCTGGTTTTTTCCTAACAAAGAAAAAATACATGGGTAATTAACTGAACTGAAATTCAACTTTTACGTCCATCTGCGTGTATTTAGATGGATTAGACAAAACAGGAACAGTTAAAGAAAGTTTTCGGGTCGGTTTTGATTCCCCGGGTGAACGTGTCGTTTCAGTCCCTCCGATTTTTTCTGGTTTTATCTTACAGAACACTTTAAATTAAGTAAGTTCAGGGGAAAAAATCCTGGATGGTCCATAAATTAAGCCAAAAAACACTCACGTAGTTTGCGGAAAATCACCATTTTTAGCCCAAATTTCGAGCGGTCTTGCCAAACTGCCCAAAACGTTTTAAGTTACAGAAACTGGTTTCCATTGATATCTAGCACGTAGATTCATTCAATTAGGGGCGGTTTAGATTATTTCGGTATTTCCAGGTACATTTTTTAGTTTTTATTTACAAATTTTTTTTAAAAAATCACTTCAACSACAAATAAACTAACTAAAAACCCCTCTTACTTTTGCTAAAAAACCTTTGTAAAARACACRATYATTATSCATTTGAGCGACAATTTTGCATGTAAAGCTATGAATTGTTGATACCTAAAACACGATTKAACAACAAATRGCATCGTCCTCATTYRTAARTAAGTGGTTTTGGGAAAGCGAATTTCACAATTTTGTAAGTGTTTCTTTGCTTAATTTGTGGACCATCTGGAATTTTTTTTCGCTGAAACTGCTTAGTTTAAACAGTTATTYAAGATAAAACTGAAAATTCGGTGGAACTTAAACAACCCACGTTCTGGGAGATAGCGCCTTAACATTAATGAAAAGAAAAAAGTGCAGTTTATCAATCCAAGAAAAAAATTAAGAAAACGCCATAAACACGTCAAAACCGAATCAGTCTGGCAAATGCGCAAAATTTTTCGTGCTGTGCGACCTCTTGTTAACACTGGAGACGTCATGCCCTTTTTTTACCTTGAAGTGGAGTTAATTTCAGTGAGTGAAAAGCGGTAGAAAACGGCAAATCTGTAAGGCAAGCGAGCTGCGGGGGTTCTAGACCATTACGAAAACATGTTCAGACCGCGTAAGTTATAAAGTATTCAATTATTTGTGTAATTTTGTTCCTCTACACCCGACATTTGCCAGTATAATAAATATGAAGTTCGGATAAACCTACACTATAAAATACCTAAAGTGCAGGCCAATGTGGTTCCTATCATTCCACCCCCAGCAATAATAATGTCGTAGTGTTTCGTTGCATCTTGGGCGATAGCCCTCAAGAGCACCAATCTGGGGCCTTTCAGGACAACAGAATTCAGACGAGCTGCTTTCGTTAATGGAATTTTAAACATCTCGACAAATTCCTGTTGTTTACACTGCTTTAACCTAACTAATATTGTTTTTCTGTCAGTTCACTTGACAAATCTAAAGAAGAGTAGACAAGAACTATCTAGCAAGCTAAACAAAGGACAATCCAACGTTGCCATTTACCACGATTTGGTCATTTYTAAYCTAACCCCACTTTTATTCGTTGGCAGATTAGACAACGAAACATAGATAAAGTAAAATTTTACTCATAGATAAAGACAAGATTTTACTTACTCTATGCAATGAAAGCAGAGACAAGTACTTGTCTCTGAACGAAAGAACTATTTTTATTTGATTCTGTATTTTATGTTTACTAGACTCCAATTTTATTATTGAAGGAACAATATTTAGTTTTACCTGTCTTTGCGGTAGGGAAAGGTGGTTTTATTTGATGGTTCCCTGGAAAATAGTGTGATATTTGGTTGTAAGCCTTTTACAGGAATAATATTACGTACAGAAGCATTAATAATTAATTGTTCGGGTGAAAACTCTCCAGTTTAATTTTTCAACATAATCAACATTTTGTCATTATGATTCCATTATGATAATTGAGCAGCTGCTGCACATGTTCACATCTATAACATTATTATTAATTAAAAGCTTTCAAGTTTATACTATTTAATGTTGTTTGTTGCTTTTAAGTACAACAAAAAACATGCAGAATAAAGGTTGTGGTAGACAAAAAGTCAATATTCTTTTATTACTTGTATACAGTTCATTGCTAAAACTAGTTCTTTCCTTGTCTACCCTGCCAACGAATAAAAGTGGGGTTAGATTAGAAATGACCAATCGTGGCAACGTTGGACTCTCCTTTGTTTAGCTGCTCCTAGTAGTCTGTGGATAAGTCAAATTGCTTTGACTTGTTTTCCAAGTGAGTTTATTCATTTTAACAAAAAGGTAAGTATTTTTTATAATGGAGGCATATTTACCCTCATACTCTTCTCTAAACTACCTTGACCCGGCAATTGCCATTTTTTACTAGTTGGTTGTCAATTAATCCCCAATTTGTCATTACTGCAAGTGGCCCCTCTAGAGGGTTTCTCAATTTGTTGCTACATCTTTACAGTGGTCAACAACAAACTATGGTGGCTTGTTTTGTCTGATAATTCGTCAAAAATTACTTTATAGTTCCACGTGAAAAATTATAGTTATTTTCATAACCTATAACCATAGTTCATGCCCATATCGGAAGACCAGAGTACGCGGTAATTTTCTGGTTTATCAGGCCCGGACATTCGAATTTCACGAAATGCCTACCTTATAGACAATCGATTTGCTATTAACTTTTCGTAGGGGTGTTTCTTGTGGAAGTGCGGTTCAACTACTTTTTGCTCATGGAAGTCACTACTTTTCCATGTGAACAAAGTAGGTACGCCATTCCAGTTTGCAATCTTAACACCTCTCACCATACCGATGACACACGGACGAAAATCAATACTTATAGTTGCTTAACGTATTTAAAAAACAGCCAAATAACCAACATGAACCCAAGAAAATAAATAATTAATAATACTAATTAGTTGGCGAATTTCCTCGATGACTTTCGCCCTTTGGTTAAAGCAGATTTGGTTGATTTATCAATTGAACGTGCTTTTGGTTCAACAGTTTAAAATGGGCGATATCAAAGAAGAAAAATCGCAGGAGCGAATCTATGGAGGCTGTGAAGGGCCTGAAGCCATGTACGTGAAGCTGATTTCATCCGATGGCCATGAGTTTATCGTCAAAAGAGAACATGCCCTGACTTCCGGTACTATCAAGGCGATGTTGAGCGGTCCAGGACAGTTTGCGGAAAACGAAGCCAACGAAGTGAACTTTCGCGAGATTCCGTAAGAGCTTATCCAAACCGTTCGATCAACTGGGTGTTTTGAATGTCAATCTGTTGCAGGTCGCATGTGTTGCAAAAGGTTTGCATGTATTTCACGTACAAGGTGCGCTACACAAACAGCTCGACTGAAATTCCGGAATTTCCCATTGCCCCCGAAATTGCCCTCGAACTGTTGATGGCGGCCAATTTTTTAGACTGTTAAACCCGCAAAATGAATCAGAAAACACCTTAGATAGTTGGCAATTAAAATAGTATGCTGAGCAGTGGACAGTGTGGTAAGGCTAGGATTTAGTTATTTTAAGCGACATGTAATGGGATGGTGTGCAGCTACCTGTGGAAACGTTGTACCTCTTATGTCAAGACCTTGCTAATCACCGCCTGTAACTCACATTTAGTAAGCTTTTGAATATTGGATGACTTAAGATCAGATCTATTTTTTAGTTTTGTACTTTGCTGATTTCATTCTTCAATTGTTCGTTTTCTCTTTTATTGTGCGAATGTTATGAACTGAATTTACGTTATTAGTATTCTACCTTTGGTGGCAATGTTAATGCTTCTAATGTAATAAATAGTTTTATTTCGGAATTATTATCAAAACAAGTATGAGTCAACTTTTGCGAACAAACTGTCAATAAGCATGTTTTGACGGTTCTACATAACTTGAAACATGGCTAATTGTATTCGCCAATTCAAAACTGTAAACGCTCCCTGGTGGGTAAAATTATAACTACAAATTAACCAGTAATTTGACATTTGTTTTTTGGTATCACATTGATGATTTGTTTTGTTCTAATCAACTTTTGCAAGCCTTTCATTTTGCTTTTATTCAATTCATTCATTCACATTTGTTTGCGTTCTCACTTTTCGCTTGTGTTCCAACTCCAATAGATAGACAAGATTGACAAGTCGCAACTGTCACTCGGCAACGAATAATTTGACGTTTCGCAGCGCCCCCATCGGAAGTTCAACCGGAAACTGACGTCATGATGCTTCGTAGGGATTTTAGCGATCAGTCAGTTGTGTAATGTTTGATTTGATTTTCAAACTTTGTCGGTTTTTCTTATTTTTGTGCTGAGAATTGTTGATTTTGTAACAGTAAAAGTTTCCGTTCGCCGCTTTGGGACGTGGGTTCGGGTGATAGTGTGATGTTTGCATCAAAATGCGGCTTTTTGAGTTTTCGGTTGATTTTCTGACGTTTATTGTGTTGGTGAATTTCGATTACTACGCGCCTTGGATGGATTATTACGATACCCAAAGGGACCAGATAATAGTAAGTGCGATTTTTCTAGTGGTAGTGAGCAAGCGCGATATTTTTAAAACCTTACGTCGCTCAATGGGAAACTTTCAGTTTTCATTGTTTCAATTACACAGTTTCTGCGTTCGATATCTACTCTAGTAAATCTTTTTCAATGTTTACTTGTTTCAAAATCATCATCGTCATAGGGTAAAGGCCCTTAACTCGCATATTCTAAAAATATGACTAATTATACAGAGTGCGCCAGAAAAGTTTCAGCGCAGAAGTCATGGATTTTCTAATGGAACACCCCTGTATATAGATTTTTCATTTCTGCGTAAATTTCAATTAATATTTGTTATACGGGGTGTCCCGTAAGCACTTGATCAAAAGGGTACTGCGATATTCTTTGGATCAAAAGAATAAGACCTGACCTAACTTTTATTAACAAAAAATGTATGGATCCTCTGCTATTGATGGTCAAAGTTCTTAAAAAAAATTATCTTTTGAAATATCGAGAAAATGGTACGATGTATTTTGGTGAAACTCGCTGTGAATTTGTTCTTATGTATTTCAAAAATCATGTTTTGATGAAACAATCGAGTTCAGCCGTTTTTTCAACTCATTTTTCTTAGAATCACGTGTGAAATAAACACATTTAATTTTATATACATTTATTAGGTTTGTCATGCTAGAAACAGTGTTTACGTCAAGATTACTAAAATTGTATTTATCACAGAATCAGTGAACACCACTCTCACCTACGTAAATTAAAAACCCGTAAAGTAAACATAAAACAGTACAAAATTAACGTTAAATTCGGTTTTATCCATACACGTCCAGCATACAAACTTTCGCCGGTCTTCGCAATAAATAAGAAAGTACTAACAAATTTAAAAATTGAATAATACTATCAAATAATATTAATGAATAAGTAAAGATTTTGCACTTATCTCTCTTTTTTTGTTGGTTTTCATCCTTTTAATCACAGCGCGTCTATTTTATGCATTTTACAACTTACGAAATAAATAAGTTTATATACAGTATGAAATACGTGGAAAAAAGATGCCTTCAATCTTAGACTCTCAAGTTGATCGCCATCCACACATCACCTTGGGCGCTTGGTTATCGGACACACTTAACAGTTACTATTATTTTTTGCAAACTGCAACAACATTAGTTACTTTTAACTTAAAATAAAATTTGTTACCCTACCTAAGTCGATTTCCTCGAAAGCCATATTTCGAATCTTTCAATAATATTACTGAACCTTAACAATAAGCGCAGTTGGTAATAGTTTCCTGGGCCATCATTCAAGTCAACCAAAGCAACAACTTAACAATTATAAATTTACCTCATAACAAAACGGGAAACAAACGAGAAATCCTTCAAACTATCGCAAAGCTAACCAAATTAGCTGGTTCAACGTGTTTAAGGGTCCTTGATTAATGTGGGAATCCGGAAGAAAGAACACCAAAAGTGGACAGTTTCGCAAGTACAGGGTGTTTCAGGCAGTGTTACAATGTTTTGTATGTACCTTCGCACTCTGTTTCTGCGAAACTACTTTCCACTTTGACTGTGGTCTGGTGACTGTTTGAATGCGAGCTTTTCATTGTTGAAACATTCTCATAAACATAACAAGGAACGCCGGCTAAAAGTAGAATTTATCAGTTAGAATAAAAAAATAATTACCACTCTTAAACAGTATGTTTAGCAAAATTCTTGCAGTGGATTTGCACGTGATGTAAGTTTTTGCATCTTTAAGGCTCGGAGAAACTTGAAGAAGCAAAACTGAGAAAGAAGAAAATGTAGGCAACTCTGTTTAATTATGCCCTCGTTTCAGAGGTGAGCAACAAAATCTAATTCCAACTAATCCAGTCGATTGTTCACTAAGCAACGTTTGTTTCATTGATCACCAAATAAGATAAAACTGAAGAAATCGTCGAAATGCAGCTCTGCGTTAGTAGTTTGTTGGCTGTAAAGAGAGAAATATGCCAATAAAAACTGCAGAAACTAAAGAATTGTGAAACAGTTCTGAAGAAAAGTCGAACAGTTCCTTACCCAATACTGGTATCAAGTTTAGCGGGTTTGGGACGGTGGACAGAAACTCTTTGTTTTCTTGAAAAAGCCTAGATTTTGACCATAGTTAGTTTTCCTCAGGGCCTAAATATACAGGGTGACCATTTTCTGAATCTTTGTATGGGTAACTTCTACATTTTGAAAGATAGAGAATCCGTTAAATGGGCAAAATTGGGCAGAATTCGATTGCCTATTCATTACCGTTTTCAAAATTTAGGTACCCGACTTGGTTCCTGAAATATCCTGAAAAGACAAGAAATCAACACTTTTAATTATCACTTATTACGTAAACTGCTTAACTTAGAAAAAAGTTAAAACTGCCCTTAGTACAACTTTTTGCGTTGAATCTAATAAACTAGAACTCGTTATCATAGTCAACTTGATTTACGAGATAAAAAATAAACTTGTGGTTTTTTAAATGGTAATCATAGTTGGCTGTGGGTCTTTTAAAATCCTTATTTTTTCCTGAATTTAACGATATAATTGTTTATATGTTTTTCTCCTTTTGTTGCCGTAAAACTTCAAAAGACGATAAAAATGTGTAGTAGGCTATGGAAACAAGAACTATATTCGAATTCCCGAACAAAAAGCACAAAACAATAATGAATCGTTTAAATTAAATGTTCAAATTGACTTCCGTTCACGTCCAGGCATTTTTTGGCATCTTCACATTCAACTCGTGAGTTGTGTGAAGGTGCACTATCATGTTGAAAATATGCCAATTGTCGATACGATGCTAACGGAAAACTATTCAACATGTATTCAAGTCCATTTGGTAAAAAGTGTAAATATCTCTCCATATTTAAATTGTGATTATAAAAGAATTTTATCACTAAAAATGCCTCACCGGACATTCACAAAAAAAAACACGTTGATCTCGCTTATTTTCAATTAGATGATGATTTTCATTAGCCCAGTAAACATGATTGTGTCTGTTAATTATTTCATTTTTGTTTTGTGCTTTGAGTTCTTGCTTCCTGCCTGCTACACATTTTTTATCTTCTTTTTAAGTTTTACGGCAACAAAACGAGAACATACAAACAGTTATATCGTTAAATTCAGAAAAAAATAAGGATTTTAAAAGGCCCACAGCCAACTATGACTACCATTTAAAAACACATAAGTTTATATTTTATCTCGTAAATCAAGTTGACTATGACAACGAGTGCTAGTTTATTGAATTCAACGCAAAAAATTCTACCAGACAATTTTAACTTTTTTTCTAATTTAAGCAGTTTACGAATTATATGATAATTAAGTGTTGATTTCTTGCCTTTTCAGGATATTTCAGGAACCAAGTCGGGTACCTAAATTTTGAAAACGGCAATGAAAAGGCAATCTAATTCTGCCCATTTAACGGATTCTCTATCTTTAAAAATGTAGAAGTTACCCATACAAAGACTGTCTGGTCACCGTCTCAAACCCGCTAAACTTGATACCAGTATCCATAAACCAGAAACGCTAACGATAAATATGATTCCTTACCAACACTCAGCAACTGTCCAGCAACGTGTTTTGATTGAGGTCAGGCACAGTCGCCATTGCTTGTCGCTTCGCTCGTGCAGTTCATCGCTCTGGACTGCGCCCCTTGTCCGGCCAAATTCACAGGCGTTCTCCGTTCACTCACACCTGAATTCCCTCCTTCCCTCGACGTGGGAGGAGGAGTGGCTTTGGGCGTCGGGGGCGGTGTCGGCTTCGGTGTTGGCGGCTTCACTAAATGACTAGATGGTTTATCCATTACTTGACCTAACGAGTGACCTGCAAAAAGAGGTTTTACCTCGATCATTCATTGCAATTCACATAGTGAACTGTAACAACTACAACCAGAATTATTGATTATGCAATAATGAAAATTAAAGGCCGAGACCTAAGAGTATTTTGGATCTAGTAAGGAAAAATTGTCCCTCCGATAGTCGAAAAATTCAAACACCTACAAAGTAGAAACAACTCAGTTGAGGTGGAACAGGCACAATTTAGCAATTTTGAGCATATGTAACTGTTTGATCGGGACTCACCTGGTGTCGGGTGATGGTTATTCACATGGACCTGACTGACCAGACTAGAACTGTGCGCTGGCGGAGGCTGTACATTGTTGGTTAAATTGATAAGCGGCCCCGAGGGTTGAATGATCGTAGGAGACTGTCTGGGGGGCGCCGATAGGTTGAGCGTCGAATATGCCCCAGGAGCCATCGGCGAATGTCTTTGGAGTGAAGGAGACGCTCTACGAGATTAAACCAATGCAAATCGTCAGAACGTATTGTTGGTATGTACAGCAATTTACCTGGTTACTTGTGCGTAACCCTGCGGGGGCGCCGCGAGGTATCCGGGAACACCAAGCGGCGAATGTCGAGCGCCAGTTGGCGCTAATCCGAGAGTGGGCGGTAGCATTCCTGCAGCTGCCGACGGGTGCATGACTGGCATACCCATTAGATGGGGCGCGGCTAGTGGAGAAACCCTTCGGGCAGCATCAGCGGCTGCTTTTTCCCGAACTAGTCGGTCTTTTTCTCTTTCGCGTTCCATCAGCTCTCGCTCGAGTTCCGCATCTTTGGAACGAGCTGCTGCGGCGGCCGCCAGACGGTGACGATGTTCTTCCTCCAATTTCAACCTGACAAAATATTCAATAGTTTATCTCAAGCGACTTGAATTGAGCTCAACACTTTGGCCTTTTTGGACGTTTCGCTAGCATCTTCACCACAATTGAATTTTACCTTTCGTGCATATAAAGCGGCATGGAGGACGCTGGTAGTCCCAAGTATGGCAAATAGTGATGCGGGATTGGCCACGACGGTCTCAACATTCTCTCGTAATAAAGCTGTTCTTCCATCAGCGGAATGGGATAATGCGAGTAAGGAGTCGGGTAGGCGGCCATCTCTAAACCAACTGGCACTTGAGGTATTCTAGAGAACATGGATTATATTCAGCAAAAACTCGGTTTACTGTAGTAACGCTGTTGGTCTACCTGTGGTCTTCAGGTCTGTAGGGTTGAAAGCCACTGCGACCTAAATCCGCCAGCGCCGAAGGGTAGCGCTCAGCAGCGGCCGGATGGGCTGAAAGTCGCACATCTATTGCCGTTCTTGTTGATGGATATGTGGGTACTTCAGATTTTGACTTCTCGGGTATCGGTGCCCCTAAAACAAACGAGTATACATTGAGAGAGTTTCTCCATAAGTATGAAGAGTGCAACGTTGTGACCCAACAAAAGTACTGAGGTCTGAGTAAGCATTTCAGAAGTTATGTCTGTCATATCTGATACGTGGCGAGCCAAATTCGAAGAAATATCGGTACGTTACTGGTTAACCACGAGCCAGATACTACTCGATGCGAATTTCGTACATAATAAATCTGCAGATCTGGACTTGCGGACCAAATTTCGCTGTTAGTGGGTACGGGCGAACACTAGTATCAGATATTATTGCCGCCTAAGCAGTCATGATATTGCCATCTTCCGCGGATTAAAGAAAATACATATTCAGATAAAGTTTTACGGTTGACTTTGGTACAGATTTGAGATATACTGTATAATGTTATAACTCAAGCAATAGGCAAGAGGTGATGATGGAAAATTTGGCGATAGAAATCTTGGAAGATGATGATGAGATAGTAGCTAATGTCACAGGAGAAAATCACTACTTCGATTACGAAGGCGAAGCTTGTCAGAAAATACCCAGTAAATAGGCGGTCGATTAATTTAATTTGTGCCTACGTTGGGCCGAAGAAAATGAATTGCCACTGTATGAAGTGATTATTCGTATTTGAATTATAGATATGTTATGTTGTATCGTTTGTTTGTTTTTCTATAATGACGTATATAATTGTTTTAATAACAACGTGTTTATAAAAGATCCCAGCGTGCATTCGATTTCTATTTTTTTTGCCGGATTTTTCCTTATGGCTGCTGACGCCCTTCCAGTCTATAATCTCTAGTCTACCCACTTTCTTCTCACTCTCGCTATCCGTTTCTTGCTTCGCATTTTAAACACTTAGTTTAACTAATCTGCCTCTGCCACGACCAGATCTTTTATTTCACTTGAAAACCACGCGCCAGATCAAGTCTGTCTGAAACGTAAGATTTCACTCCACTAACGGACGGATCTGATAATTCCAATCCCACTGGAAGAATCGGCACTCGTGCTTGGTATGTTAATTAGTGGACAGGAAAAGGTTTAATCCGTCCGATCTGGATCTGTCGAATCAAATCTCTACGTATCAGAACTGTACGGATAATCTGCGCGTGTATGGGGCGCTAATCAAAGACAATGGATGGACATTATTAATAACAATTGGTCTTTCTGCCCTTTCATTGCCATGCAGACCTTTCCGGTCTATGCATGCATAATTACTGCACAACTAAACCCAGGCATGTAAAAACATTGAGTTGGGATAAAAAGCTCATTTTCAATGAGTACAAACATCAATTTCATCGGCACTCACCACTCTCCCTCGATCTGTGAGCAGCCGGCGGTTCCGCAACAGATTCGGCGCCAGGTACGTTCTGTTGGGCGAGGTTCCGCAGGGCGGCAGCAAACGAATGGCTGTATTGGCTGTTGGAGGAACCAGGGCCAGGTCCTGGCACAGTATGGCCAGTGGTGGATGAGCGCGGTTTCGGATTGGTCATTCCAGAGCAAGCGCCGCTCACTGGCACATTTGCTATGCTGCCATTGGTCGCACTCGGAACGGTGGGAGGTAGTTTGTTTGGGCTGTTAGGTACTCCTTTAATGGAAAAATATCTCTTACTTGCAGTGCAGTATTCTATGCCGGCATAAGTCTCTTGAGTATTTCAGTTTTCAAGAATTTAAACAAAGAAAAGTCAAATAGCCACTACGGGGATCAAATAAACACCGCAAACTCTCCCCCCTTTGGCATTAGACAAAATAGGTTAAATCGGCAGTACTCTTTCAAAGTCGCCAAATCTAATAAGTTGATTAAAACGCGACGTTTCTGGAGTGGCTTGGACTTAAGGGTTGTGAACTGTCGACCCTCGTCACACCCTCCTCTGTCTGAGGTCAGTCGGGCAATTTATCTTTCAGTCACTACGAGAAGGCGAAACTCATTGAGACAAGAAATATATGTTAGTATTAACTCTGATCTCGCAAAAAAAAATAATTTTTTGGAGAAATTTGGCCATCAATCTTCAGTACAGGAGTCGGACATTTTTTCTCAAAAAAAGTTGGGTCAAATCATCCTCTGTTGAACCAAAAAATGTCGCACATGAGCTCCCGGGACACCCTGTATATCGAACACCATTACATGTATACAGGGTGTAAGTAACATGTTGTGATTTTTCCATACCTGCCTCAGATTAATCACAAATTGACCTTATAAAGTTCTTTTGATGAAATAAACAAGGAGCGCATAAAAACGAGTGTGCCATTAAACGGTGACAACAGCAAAATAAAGTCAAAACCTACAAAATAATTGTGGAAAATGAGCCCCCGCTTCAAAACCATAAAATCTTCTGACACCCTGTAGAGCGTAATCGAAGCATTTTTAACCCCATGTTCATATTAACTTTCGCTCATAAAACCGACTGAGGAATACGCCCTTGAAATTTGTCTCGTCAATTAGGACACGACACCCTGTATAATATACCCACTCGGTACATAAGAAAATGGGGGAAAACTGCCTCGGCGTTTTTATCGACTCGGGAATGTAAAAGCCACTTTTTATTACCTTCCACCCCATAATAGTAGGGATAAGAATAGGGGCTGCAATAGGGATACTTCAAGTCGAGTTTGAAATCCATATTCCGGGCCTTCTCTCTCTCGCACTACACTCCGCACGGCTCTTTTCAATCCACTTGCCAATTATTCTGGCTTTTAACCACAGTGATATTCTTATTTAACAGGAAAATGTCTATTCTTGCCTTTTACACCCTTAGCTAGTGCCTACTGCCCAGACGACCGGTCGATAAATAATTAAAAACTATTAATTAAAATGCAATAAACCCCCTTTGCAGTGATCAATTCCGCAAATCAACGCACTGTTTACTGTTAATTCGAATAATGATCGCACACTGATGCAACAGTAATTTTTCGCAAAAATTGCCGGAACAAACGTGGAGAACCGGGATAAAACACCGACACTGTCGACTGATTCTCGTAACAAAAAGATCGGTATGGGGCGTATGACGGCGCAAAATGCGGTCACGGGTCCGGGATGCGCTTATTGACGGGTGTTCGTTCTAAAAGACTTCATTTCCATAGTGGAGCGAACTCCATGCGGCGTTGAGGGAATGGGAGAGAACCGAATAAATAGCCAGGCTTGGGGACGTCAACATCCGGCTAATTTCACTATTTAGCCGAACTTTTACGTTCGCGTTCAAACTGTACGAGTTTAAACCAAAACATTTTCAAAGCGATTATTCCGAGTTAATGTATTTTTGTATCTCAATAGAAAGTTCTCGCTTAAAACATACGAGCATTTCATAACAGTTAAATTTTTTCACTGTATCGTCATTCATAAAATATAAAATTATAACATTTAATTTACACTTTTCAACTCATCGAAAATATTTGCATGACTTACCTGAGTTTTGTTCAGTCTTTGAATTCATCTTTCTCTCCATAATTTTTGGTGAATGGTTCTTTCTGGTGGGTTTGGCTAGGAACGTTGGGGGTGCCTGTGAAACCAAGCCAAAAACCCAAGTTGAGCCGCCAACGCAGTAAAAAAGTGCGACTTACTACTTTATCACTTCGTTGTCCGCTCGGTAAACGGGCAATGCCGGCCTCGGGACTATCCTCTGGGGGCGGGGGTTGTGTTATCCAATTATATTGCCGCTTGTCTAAAGGTAAGCCCCATCTAAAAAAGTGACCCAATAACAAGTTTCGATTGGTGTTACTCAGCCGATTATCTCAGGCACCTTTCATATTCCAATGACTGGGTTCTCAGCGTCTCGTAGCAGTCCAAACATACAACTGAATAGTCGCCGTTTTCCAACAGCAGTGAGTTGTCAGGCTGCGGGTGGAATCTCAAAAACGGAAAATCCTGCAAAGAATCAGGAAAATTTGTTCTGCAATTTCGCTGCCACCCATCAATCTTACCTTAATAAGTAACGCGCGCACTCGTTTCCGGTAAGTGGTAATTCCGCAGACATAACAGCAGTAGTCGTGAGTGTTGTATTCGCGAGCGTCTGCGGGCGGTACTCGATTGCCTTGAGACTCGTACCTACGCCACTGATGAACTAAGCTATGGTAACAGAACGTACAAACCAGCGCACTGCCATCGTCTCTAAGCTGCTCAGCGCTGGGCGGACTTTTGTGGCGCAGCAGGACCGGAAAATAGGGCGCATTTCTACCTACAATAAAATATCTAGATGACAAATTGAACCACCTCGAAGCGAAAACGGACAGAAAAAGTCGTTGCTTTCGTTTTGTTTACACACCTTGAGGTTTACTGTACACCACTCGAGCGAGGGTGAATTCCGAATGCAAACCACACAGAAAACAGTATATGCTGCTGCCACCTGAGGATGGTTGGCTGCAAACCGTTCTATCACTGTTCGTGCTGGGGGGTGTGGGGATGCCTCGATCACCGTTCATCAGCGTCGTATCTGGCAAAGGTACATCATATCTGAAGATCAACAGCATTTGATTCTCAACATTCGCACGCAGCAACAATGGGAATTTACCTTCGCCGCTCTAAAGGCACCCGATCGGTTTCGAAAGTCTCCCATTGCTGCGCCAAATGGTTCACGCATCTCGTACAGCTCAGAACCCGTCCATGCGAATCCATGCAACTGTTCTCCAACGTTCGTCCGATCTGGAAATTCAATTGGCATCAATTGAAGCATTCCGGAATGACCGTAAAACATACGCAAACCTTCGACAGGCAAGGAAAGTGCATAGCATGCGAGTTCATGCCCTCCGCCGAAGTACTGATCCATTCCATCTGATCTAAAGTATAGAGGCCTGCGCAAATATAGCAGCGGTAACTTTGCGACCCCGAATGTCCATTGATGTCCACCAAGGGTGAAGTGGTCCTGGCAGCCAACGCCGCCTGAAAATCGAAAATTTCGGGTTGCTTTACCTTCACTAACCTAGATTTAAGTAAAACAGAGCGCGCTGAGGCGCAAGGAAAACTAGAACGGGTCGATGCTGTAATCAATAAGGCCACTGAATGTTTACAACGAAGTGCGGATTATTAACGAATTGATCTTTGATATTCGACGTCACCGATTTCGCTACTCAAAACGCACAGACTATAACTTTATASCATAATTTTCCTTAATTACAGTATTCGAAAATCAGCTGTTTCATTTGAAAACATCGTATATTTTATTTTGGCTGTTTACCAGCTKTTGGCTTTAACGCTGTGGAAGTTATTCGGCTTCGCAATGGTGGAGTTCGAATTTGATAACGAAATTTGAACAAACGCGGTTTTTTTCTCGTTCTTAATTTATACCGCTGCAGGCCTAAAAAAATCATCGGCAATTTTAAAACACTTGTTTTTTTYTTCGATTTAMATTCCGTTACTAAATTCCAACTCAAACAAGTATTTTGATTTAWTATCCTGACTGCGTGTAATTATTGTTATTATATTTTTTTCTTTCCTGTTACTATCAGATTCATTTGAAAACATTACTTGTGAACATTAATTGTGAAATAAAAATGTTCATATCGCTAGTTCATTTTGACTGAAACACAGGAAAGGAAAAATATCAAACAAGTATATTGTTTATCGCTTACATTAGCACTGATCCATCTGGCACATGTGCTTTTGCTAAGTGATCAAAAACCGAAAAAGTAAAGTTTTCAAATGAATCTGATAGCAACAGGTATAAAGAAAGGAACTGCTTTGACGAAATGCGGGGAAAATAACCCAACACGAAATGCAAGCGTGATACAATAAAGACTGAAAAATGTGGCAAATAATCAAATAACATTGCATCAACGTGATTTGCGAGTAGATGATTTCAACAATAATGAATGCATAGTAACTAGGAGTAATGCAAATACAGTAAACACAAAGTAGCATTTGAAGTGTCTTAAACGGGCTTCAGTTCCAAAAGATATTGTAGAACAAACAAAAATGCCATTTTAGAATGAGATGCGAGCGTTTCCTATAACCTCTGTTAAGTAAAACAATCAGTTCCAGCCCACAAACCACGATCAATCGACCCAGACAATGAATTGCTGCTATTGCCTTACCTTGACCATTATTCGTCGAACTTTAGTCATAATTTGTCAAATGAAAATATCAATAATAATAATAATATTAAAAGTTCAACTCCACAGCGTCTCTCAGCACATCTAAAATAAGTCTGATGGTACGATGTTGAACGCAAATTGTTAAAATAAATGCGGCTTTCGCGATGTCTCGTCTCAACACTAACCGAAAACACGCATTAACAATTATCTGTGCAACTGGGAAAAAAGATGCAGGTCAAAGAGCCCGATGATATGTCGAAATTTTGGAACTAAATCCATTTAAACACATACAGTTGCTTAGATTAGTGGTATCGAACAAACCAAACGCCCAAAACATGCGCCAAGAAAATCACGTTTCACCGTGCTGAATTCAGCAAACGGACACACTGAGTGGGATAATTGAACTTTATATCGGGTTGTGCCACCTGAGCCTACCTTTGAACTTTTGCTATCAGCTAGTGCAGCTCGTTTCTTCGTTGTGACGATGGAGGCTTGATTAATGTCATACGGTTTGTACCGAATATCCGAACCGGCAGAATTTGCGGGACTTTTAACAGTGCTGGGTCGGGACGAAGTCGTATTCACATAGTGAACTTCCGTCATGCTCACGTGATTGCTGTTTGTTGTCAGCTGAGAATTTTGAGTCGAAGGATCTGCACCAAAAACCTTAAAAAAAACAACAGGAAACTAGAGAATTTATCCCCCATGTACAATTAACAACTAAATATAATAAAGCTCCGTTATTTACCTGATGCTTTTGCGGAATGCTCTTGTAACATATCGAACACACTTGGACCATCCCTTGAGGAGAAACCGGACTGGCTCCAAGTGGGGCTTTCAGAGTCTGGATAAATGGAAAATATGGTTCCTGGAATTTAAAAAAATATATTAATCAACAAAAGGATCCGGGCTTGCAGCGGGATTTACCTTCTCGTTATTCGGGCAACTATACAACAGTCTGATGCTAGAAGAAGGGTACTCTAAGGTACAAGTGTAACATATGAAGGTGGTTGCATCTAGGGCAGCTCCTTGCCGTTTTCGTAGAGTGTATTTACGCTCTATGTGTGGAACACCTGGGGAAGAAAACATTGTCAGCATCATATTACTTGGAGGAATCCAGTTACAGTGTGAGTTTTCCGGTTTCTGCACTTTGAAGATCTGCAAAGATCATTGCTTACTTCGTGAAAAATCAGCGCTGACACTAAACATTCAAGTTCATTTCGAGAAAAAATAACAAGTAAATGAAGTAAAATAAATAGTCAAGCTATCGACCAACATGTCTCTCGAGAAAGTACACAATGTTGATTAGAGAACGTTAATTACGGCGATCCGTGATAAGGATAAAGAAATCCGGACATATCCAGTTCAGTAGCATTATGTAGTTGTGTCGTCCGCATTGCAATTACGTAAACCAACGCTACATCACTTGGAAAGAGTGGACTTATCTAACGAGCCGAATAACTGGCCAGATAATTAAATTATTGGGGTAAATAAGGGTTTTTAATAAATATGAGAACATGATTTCAAGTTCATGCAGACTTCGTTTAGGGAAGAATGCCATGGACAATTGTTGTTTTGATATTGCATTGTAATTAAACATTTGTTCGAACGGCAAAGGTAAAAAGTTGGAACGCAGCAATGCAGAGCCTTGTGCGTGCCGCTCTCATAGAATCTGTACAAATCAATTAAAATCCTACTTATGCCATTTGTTGGCCAAAAGTAAGCAATATGTAGTGAAGAATGAGTCCACAAGTTGATTGAATTATATCATTGCTAAACATGTGACATTGATGATGACTGATGACCGATTGATTGCGCTCTTTTCTTACTTGATAATGAGACGAAAAATCCAGATTTTGGCAGTTTTCAACGCTCTCCTGATCGAAGTGTTACAATTTTGTTGAATGCATAGGTGCACATCTCGGTGCTTTAGTCCAGAACAATATAGTGTTGAAAAATAACTTTTTCTCGTGTTTTCTGATTCAAAACATTGGGATACAGAAGGCAAGAGGCCAAACAGGGGTTTCACTGCACTGATTTTCTGGCTTACTATAATGCAAAAATGACCCAGCTAAGATCAATTTCAGTTATTTTGACTCACCCTGGCCCTGAAACGTGATCCACTGCTTCAGCAAATGTTGCTGACAATCCACACAGGCCTGGACTCGGCCCAAAGAGTCAATGGGTCGACTTCTGCTCGGCCTTGGATGCTCGATCAGACTGGGAAAAAATGGCTGCATAGCAGAGTCGGCTACTTGTTTGGAGGCGATAAAATCGAGACTTCCTCGCTTGAATTCATCGCCACAAACGTAACAGACCTGAATAAGATACGGAAGGTTTATTCGCAAATATTGAATTGACCATTTGCTTACTCACCTCCGTTACTGAGTTTTTATCTGGCATGCTAAGATCCAAAATGTCGGTACCAGTTGAGGAGTTTGAGTTCTGGTTGTACAATATGGGTGGGACTGAGACGGATTGCACTGGTGCTGATACAGACTGTTGCGATGAATGAGTGAGATCCAACGCGCCTTCTGGTACCATTTCGTCTCGATCCAATCCGGTCGACGCAACCTGAAAGAAAAACGGTAGTTTTTGAAGGCAATTGAGGCTTTCTCGGGCAAAAATACAAAAACTCTAATAGGAAAGTCTGCGCTATTCGCATGAGATGCATCACTTTTATTGCTCGTTATCAGTCAACAGTCAACAAAACCATTCACCGGCTCTAACTGGATGTTTCCTGCTACACTTTTGACATGCCATTTAGAGAATTTGTTTATTTAATACCGTGTATGGGCTTTTTATCGAGCCCCAAGATTAAAGGTTGTGCCGGACCATTAACTCAGTCGACCGGTCCCAGTTATATTCCATGCTGTTTTGCAACATTCGGTTTATCATTGTTTATAAACAGGGTCTGGATAAGTGATGGCTTATTTATAGTAAAACCCCACATTTTCTTGATTATGCAAACGTTTAAAAAATTTATTCACTAATCGGAAACGTGTTTTTTTCACCATTTTTGTGCTTGTTATCCACTGCGAAGCCAACATTGCCGTAACTTTAAAAAGTAATCGTGTGATTAATCGTTAAGCTTAAATACTCTAATAAAGGCACACATTTGAACTTCCAGCTAATACAATCCGACTCTTTTATTATTTTATCGCAATTGTATAATAAACAACTGCTTACGATTCTGCCCCTCGTCCTAGTGGCTTAATCGATGAATCACTGAATAGTTAACAATTCTAATTCCAAATATTAAATTGAACTTCAAACCACGCGTCTGCTAGAACCGCATCAATCAAAGCAATCAACGAAATGCCTCTCCTGGAGTCATTTTTTCAACACCTCAAATCCACTATTGGTACCCAAGTGTCTATTGCGTACTCACCTTAACACTTGCCGCAACTATTCAGCGAATGGGAATTTCAATTGCAAATTCGACAAGGTGTTTTGCCTGAAATAACTACCGATGTTTTGACTGGTCTCGATATAGTCAATCGAAAACAGCTACCTACACTTTTTTTAGTTTCAATTAGCGGACAAGTGGTTTGAAACCGAGTGTGCAATTAAAACTATCGCTAACTTACGCCGCTTATCGGTAGCATGGTAATCCTGGCTGTTTTCGGTGCCATCACATGAAACCTGTTTTTACTCACACGAAAATCCGCCGATAACTGCACAAACGACACACCCCCAAAATATTGCGAGATCTTCTACACATGACCTACTCTCTCCTACGCGGTTTAGACGACTTCGTTAGCGAAAAGCGCCCGAAAAACCGTTTCAAAACGCACAATTTTATCGTTGCTGAACGTTTCCTTGAGCTCGGCATTTTAACACTGTTTCACCGTGATAGTAGAAAGAGGTGTGACACTTTTAAGGAACTAAAACAAATCGATGCGTTCGCAAATTCAAAAAGCCCCAAGGTAGTAAGATGAAGATGCTGCCTACCCAATTTCACCGGTTTCCCTTGATGATTTGATAGAAAAACACGGCTTTTGCGCGAATATAAGCATTTTTGTATAACTGAATGCAATTCCAAAACAGGTTTTGTGTTAATGGAAAAATCCACTAGATCCACAGCCTTGAACGTTATTGCTTGATTTCTTTTCAATCCATCTAAGTATTACATGACGCAATTGAATTTTTCCAAAGTACCTATCGTGAGTTAAAAGGAAAGGACCAACTTTAGGGATTTTCCTGCCCATCTTGGCAACATGACAATGCGTACCTGATCGCAGTACCGTACGACTGAGTGACGTCAGCAAGTCCACCAAGAGTGCGTATTCCCAATAAAAGATAGAGAAATCGCGTTTCCTTTTAGCTATCGCCTAACGCTTCCCTTTTGCTTGACACGTCGTTGAAAACTAGTCTCGATCGTGTCAGGCGGTCGCTTACGCTACTCGGTTAAGATAAATGAAAGTGCGTCTCAGTAACTTCAATCGCGCAACGATATTACAATGAACGAGTAACTGAACTCACCTAAAGCTAACCGATGAAAGCAACTCTGCTAGCTTTTTTATTTCCAACCGTTCTGACTAAGTGACTTGTTTAGGGTTCTATTTATACGCCACTTTTCATATTTTTAGACTTCAACCGTCAGAACATGCTGTTTTTCGAAAATCGATGTAAAACATTATCGCACATTTGAACGGTCGCCGGTACTTACATTTCACGCTTTCTTCGACAAAACGGAGGCATTTTGAGCGCGAGCATAAACTTATATAGAAACAGGCTTACCGGAGCTGAAACTGGTCTAGGAGACACTCGGATCCTAGTGGAGTCTTCGCGGCCGACAGTCTTGGAGGTTTGGGAGGCAACCGGAACAATGCCCCCTTCCGTATTCAATCCGAGCATTTGAGCCGCGTACTCTCCCTGCATGTTCATATCCGCGCCTGTATAAGGGCCATTATCCACCCGTTTCAGCCAATAGAGCCGCTCCGAATGAGGCTTGGCTGTCTGTTCATATTGGTCCCATTGTTGCATGAGCAGTTGATAGCACAGGCTACAAGCCGCGTAGATGGACGGGTCCGATTTACCTGGAAAAAAAAGCCTTATAAGATGTTTGCCCGAACCATCAGCATTTTACCATACAGAGTTAAAGAGCATGTTAGAATAATGTCCCTGCATGACAAAAATTACCTAAACCGCATCGCTTCAGAGGGTTGAATTTGATTTTTTTCTCTAGTAGTACACATTAAGATGGTCTTCCAACTTACCCCAGAATTTTGGATAGCCTTTAGGAGGCTCGTGACTATCCAAAAATGGAAAGTACGGATCGCGAGTCGATCGGTCCGATCTAGGTTTGGAGCTCAGAGGGTACGACCTGGGGTGGCCCCTGTTGCCACAAACAAAGCAGATCTCCAAAGGCGGAGGCTCCGCCGATTTCACTCCACTAGGTGCGGCCGTTTCCACATTTTGAATGGTCATCGGTGACTCTCTTTGCTTCGTTTGTGTCGTTAATTGATGAGGAGGTTTCTCCATAGTCTGCATTTTACAGTCTGGAACAAATAAGAAAAAAATTGCATATAATACTTCAGATCATAAGAAGTTACTAGTGCCCTCCCAGGCAAAAAATTTAGTGCAATTGTGCTGACGTTCTCTGCCTTTTTGCTTTCGCTCCGTTTGTAATTAATAAATTGCTGCATTCCCGATATACAAATTGATCGGATCGTTACGAAAAAAATAGCTTCATGAAAAACCCTAAAGAGCCTTAAAATCGAAACACCTTAATACCTACATAAATACCGCAATATTTGCATTCTGAAACTTTAAATACTCGCATTAGTACCGTCCAACATTGTAAACCTAGACCTCCAAGGAACAATGAACAACGTCAACAAAACAACAGTCTGAGCAAATCCCTTAATGTTCCGAGTCTCGGAAATTTCCCATTATATGTAAGTACACAAAAAGATTAAAATCGATTTAAGCCCACCGCATGATCTCTCAAAGTTCAAGATTGAAATGTGAATAAAGAAAGTGCTGGCTTTCGAAAGGCACCTCCGGAGGCCGCCTGAAAGACAGAATGAAAGCGAAATTTTCCAACCAGATATCGGTATTATGTACAAATCAATTTGTTTGTATTAAAATGGCAACTGATAACCTTTAAGGCCGGAGACCTCGATCTTTACCACTTGCCACTGGCCCATAAATAATATTTCCATAAATTTGTAAACAAAAATGCTCCTGTATAAAAATAGTACTATCTAAATTTACAATTTCCAACCTACTAAATTATCGTTCAACATCCAACAGTGTTGCTTTCAATCAACATTTAAGTGTGAACCAATTGCAACTTTAACAGGTGATGCCATCAAAAATTACTTGCGGATATCGCTAATGCCCCGAAGAATCCACACATAAACTTTACAGCTGCCTGCTGGTTTTTACGAAACAGTTTTCAGTATTAAAACACACTTTTTACATTAAAAGCAATTTGAAAGCTCGAAATTTTGCATTTATCAATGCTATCGATCTAACTGCTGCTTTCCGAATTTTCAACCAGCTTAACCTGTGCTCTTTGCCAACAACACAACATCCTTAATCCAAACTATAAGTCTCATAAACACGGGGAAACTTTGAAAATATAGCAACAGTCACCTTAGGTAGGTAAGTGCTGCGTTCCAAATATTCAATTTGAACGATCCTCAATTTTTTAGTACAAATTGATGCGCCTACAACCTTGAAGAAGATCAATCAAATGAATTAATCAAACGCGTTTGGTCAGTAGAGGTACTTAAATCAGTGAAATATCTAACTAAAAATAGCACTGATAGCGAACAAAGTTGCCTATCTCCAATCTAATTGATATTAAGATTCTCATTTAATACGAATGTGTTTGAACTTTTCCTTACCAAAATAGTTAGACGCGTCATGTTGAACAGAGCAACTAAGTACATATAACATTATTATAAGTTGATTTAAGGCGGCCTAGTACAAACAAAACTCTAGATATTAATAGGACGAATGTTGACCTTTGCTTGGTTGTATTGGTCGGAAATGATTACACCAGGTAGGTAAATTATCAAGAGTCTTATCAATAATTTATCCCAGCAAAAGAAAGTTGCCTTATTGCCACCAAATGGAGATAAACAACTGGTCTCGGCTGTTAGGGCGCGGGGAAATACCTAAGAGAACAGACTCATGGGAATTAATTGATTAAGGAGAAGAAACCATCGGTGGAGACTCCTTTCTAGTAACATTTTTTACTAGAATATGTTTTTTTTTCGCTGACCGAAACCCTTACATACTGGGTGATACATACTGTCCCCTTCTTCCCATTGGTTTCCACATCTAGTTTACTCCACCAAGAACGTAAACTTCAGGCATTACTTTTGAGTTTTGAAGAGCATATTGAAAAATCTAACCACAAATACGCTGTTATGTTGACATGTCCCAGTAACCCCTTAAAAGGATATATGCCAATGTTGAAGCAACCGGAGAAAACCCTTAAAGAAGTGGACGAGAATTTAAAAAAAATGTTCACGCTGGATGAAAAATGAAGTAAACACGTTAATTAAGTGGGAATTTGCAACCATATTAAAAATAACCTGCTGATAAAATAGGTAAGAGCAATTCGTCAACAAGTGGTAGTCAAGTGTAATCAAATACCTATCACCAACTGGGAATGGTCTTATTAGGGTCAACTGTTTCGAAGTAACAATTGTGTAAAGGGCTTCTTCAATCACCTTCTAATGGTGTTTCCTCTTTTCGCATAGTACCTACAAGTCGAAAATCGTTCCTGACCCAGTTGCCTACTAGTAGCAGTGCTTAAGACAACTCCAGGGCTGATAACCAGCCTTTTTTGTTAAGTTAATTGACGCCACTAAACTGTAGGGTTCTGTATGGTTTTGCTAAAGGAACAGGATACGATCGTCGTCTAGATGTAAAAGGCGAACAGCTGTTTTCAGGATTCAACGCCGGCAATGCGGGTACACTAAATTAGGACCGAAAAACTGGCTAATTAAACGAAAAGGTGGCAAGGTTAATGATGGCCTGATTGCGAAACGTCCCCATTTAGACTACCCGACTTGGTTAACAGCGAAATTTTCAGTTTTTATTTCGAAATAACCAGAGTGCGCCATAGACGACACGCAGTTGGGAAAGGATTCGTGATAAGGCGTGTTAAAACAACAAATTCCATGGATAGTTTAGGTACTTACGTTCCTCCGGCTTCCTCCCTCCTGGTGCCACTCAAACCACCCGCTTCCACTTAGCACTTTTATCAAAATACATACATAACTAGTAAAATCGTACTCCTATGTACAAGACACTAAGAACTAACATTGCACTTTGAGACCTATTAACGAAGCAGAAACCGCCCGAAAATACCACGCGCCCGTTTCGTTTAGACCTGAAATCAGTTCTACGCGTGAAAAACCGAAGAAAATGGAAAATTAAAGGGAAAACATTATTTCTGACCGTCGCTGATCATACTTGGTCATCGCGAACAGCCATCTTTAATTCATTTCCAACAATGCAATGCGCCAGTCCGTAAATACCAACACAACGAACTGAAATCCCAATATCCCCTAAACATTAATAAAACACCTCATTCATGTATAGGCAACTAAATGCGCCATACTGTTTTGCTGGTTGCTGCATTGTGGCGGGGTATTTTCTAGCGATGGGCACTATCGAATAGTGATGGGCATTATCGAATGATTTGGACAATCGAACTATGATGGGCACTATCCAATAATTACAAAATGAATAATTGCAACTATCAAATTCATACGATGAATTTATTTATTGAAGTATAGAAAAGTTACAAATTATAATCTTTTGAAAATCGAATAATCGTAGGAACCGACGATTCGAAAAATTTAGACAATAATATTTTTGAATAATAATATTGCAATGTTTGACTTTTAAATATATACATATTTTCGTTTTATTTAAATTAAACATCAATTATAAATTTAATTTTTGTATTGTTTGTATTTACTGTTTTTCTTGAAATAAAATAGTTAAAACTGCAAATATTTAATACTATGACTGGAGTACTGATTCATAATGAAAATATAGCACGTTTTTAATAAATTAATTTAAAAAAACCAAATTTTTTAAATATTAATTTTGAATGTCTGAAAAAAAACAGAAATTTATTTTTTTTTAATTTTAATTCGTTCATTTCAACCAAATTATAGCTATCCTATTATCCCGAAAATTAGAAAACAAATGAATAATACACTGCTATCAAATAATTCGATAGTTCCCATCACTGAATGAAACATCACTATCGAATTATTCGAAAAAATTGCAACCTTCGAATAATTCCATAGTTTAGATTAGACATTGGATTCGATAGTTCCCATCACTAGTATTTTCACTTATTAATGTACAAGATGCTTCCAAATTTAGTTTCGGGATTTTACAGGCGTTTTGAGGTTAAAATAACTAAAATTTTTCGCATTAAAATGCGACTTTTTCAAATACCCGAAAAAAGCACTGTGTGCTATATTGTTCAAATTGTTGTTTATTTGACTATTTTCACGCATTTGTTTTTCAGTGTTTTTGTTATTTCGTTAAATTGTGTATTACTGTTTAAGTATGTACACGTTTGATTTCAAACGGATGTAATAAATGTGTTTTGGAAAACGTTTATATTGTTTCATTTTGTTTCACGAGACGTTTTACGAAACTTAATTTAAAAAAATTGTCAAAAATCGGGGAAAACATTGAGTAAATCTACACTCAAAGAAATGGTAGAGCAAAAATGTATCTATTAAATAACAGCAAAAGCAGTATTCAAACTGATCCTCAATCGAATTGAAGAATTTTTGAAAAAATAGCCAAAAATCGACGAAAACTTCTAAAATCAACACTCAGAGGACTCATACAGCAAAAATTCCTTTATTAAATGATCGCAAAAGCAGCCTTCAAACATCGTCAAAATTGATCCTCAATTGGATTGAAGAACTTTTGAAAAACCAGTTCAAATTCAAAAAATTGTCGCAAATGAAGAAAAACATTGAATAAATTGAGACTCAAAAAAGTCAAAGAGCAAAAATTCCTCTGTTGAATAACCGCAAAAACAGCCTTCAAACTGGGCCTCAATCGGATTGAAAAACTTTTTAAAACCAGTTCAAATTTTAAAAAATGTCACAAATAAAAAAATGAGTAAATCGACACTCAAAAGACTCAAAGAGCACTGTATTCATCATTGCACAGTTAGCAAACAAGAAATAACCCCAAAAATTACCCCAAAAATTTGGGCAATCCGCAATAAATCGTACGATTGATCGATCGCAGGACTACGCTTACGTTGATGCTTGGTGACCCTAAATAATTGGCCCAATTTACTGGCCAATAAATCGAACATTGGGTAGAGTAATACCGACATAGGGGTTTTTATCCAAATCCCTTATGTTGGGATCGTAATAGAATTTATACATCGACGAAGAAGAATAACATACATACGATAGACAAAAGATGTCTGCTCGAAATGTGACCGTCTGCGACCCGACAAAGGGGAATATTTACCCCGCAACAAGACAAAGGGTTGCAAAATTCGAAAACACTTCCCCTTGAGTCGCCGTTTGGAAAGCGCAACACTCGGTTTATAGGCAAATATAAAACGTGAGAGGCGGGAGTTGCCAGAAGCCATCCAGTCGCTTCTTCTCATGGATGAACCGATTGGGAGTGAGTTGGGACGTAGGTCTTTTGATCCAGAGCCACTGTTGCCACTATAGGCCCAATTTTCTTGGCCCGTACTCCGACATTTTTCTCCGGTCCAGTTGAGTGAGTGAGTGAGTTTGAGGAAAGTTGCTCATTAACCGTCTGGCATGTGCACATTTTTTTAACGCGTGCAGGTTCATCCAAAAGCACTTTTTCTGGTGAATTTCGCCAGAAACTCCTTGGCGCGACAGTTTGTCTGTTGTGGCCTATCGAAGTATTTCCGGTATTACTTGGCAACGCTGGTCGCGCGAAACAAAACACTAGCTCACGATCACTTTGGCTCGCTCGATCAAAACCTCGCGATCCGTCGCATAGTATGGAAGTGTTTTGCGCGCTGAAAATTTCGATTTGTCGCCGATTTTTTCGAAAATCTCCCCAGTTCTAACCGGAATACAGACTTTTTCTGACTTAGACTCGCCTCTTTCACCGCGTTTTCACATCGACATTGACTGAAAAACCCGACAAAATGTGGTGTCTTATCAGCCAAGCCAACTCTGTGGTGCTTGAAGTTAGGGTTGATCTCAAGTCCATTGGACAAGAATGCCTAGAGAAGGTAAGCTAAAAAAAAACAATTAGAGCTTGTGACTGATTTGATTTTGTTTGATGTCAGTCGCCGCATTGTCTTTTGCTGTGTTCTGTTAGTTCACTGTACAGCAGGTTTTGTTAGCACAAGCCTCATTCAGCCAATGATCAAATTAGATTCAAATATAAAAATTGGAGAAAATGTGGCTTTCTCGTGCTGACAGGGGCAGGAGTGGAAGAAATTCTAGAAAAACAATTGCCTGACAGGGGTAGCTACCCTAAACAAAGCCTACTAGTTGTTGCCTGCTCTCATCCAGGCTGAAGAACATTTTCGAAATTTTCAAAAATACCTCCAAACTTGGTATAAGGAATGGGCTGGTGCATGATCCGTCTGAAGCACGTTTCACGCCGGTCCAAAGTCCAATTTCTACAGGTAGTCCAAAGTCCGATGTTCAAGTATTTTGTCGCAATTGTTTAACGGTGATAAAGTTGCTAGATCCACATCCTTGTGGAGAATGTTAAAAATAGCCGGGCGTTAATGTAGAATCAGTTTTACCATGCAGTACTTTTTTGCATTGTTGAAGAACAAAAAGCAAAAAATTATGCATGTGACTGTTCAGATATAATTTCCACATCATATGAATAGATTTGCACAGTAAACCTTTGCTTTACTCATAGAAATGCATTCAAGTGCAGAAACTTGTTTTGATATCAACTATGTAATAAAAATCAACATTTTCATCTGCATATACAGGAGGGCTCTATTTTTCTGGCATGTTCGGCATCAAATAGTAGAAAATTTCACAACAAATTATGTCCGTAAACGCATAATTTTTTCTTTGGTTTTTCCGCTCTAACTCGGCAAAATAGAAGACAACAAGGAATGTAAAAAAATCGATAGACTCGTGGCGCACGACAAAAGAAGTAAGTGGTAAATGGGGACTCTGTATGATTATTTGCCCAACCACTAGGCCGAAATAAACTAAAATTTGCAATGAATGTTACGTTAAGCCTTTCCTTTCCATCCCCATGTCTACCCGGGATGTTCAAGAATGAGCAATAAAGAAAGACGGGGCAACAAGGTGCCAACCGCGCCAATCAACCAAAAATAAACCATTTGGCTGAATGAATCGAAATTCACACTGGGATTTAAGCTTTTAAGGTTCTTTCGATTGTTGAAGCCTGCATCCCCAGGCCTGCTCTGGATGTTCCGAAATAAGCAATTATAAAAGAGGGGACAAAAACGGACAAACAGTGCAAACCTTCGCAAGTTTCCTAAATACATAAAAAATAACCACTAGGCTTAAGGGACCCAAATTTACCCTGCAAGTTAAGTGAAGGTTTGTTTTTCGACTGTTGAAGCCAGCATTCTCATGTCTACCCTGGGTGTTAAGAAATGAGCAATAAATAATGACGGGGTAAAAGCGGGCAAACGACTTAATTATTCGAAACATTACTAAATTCATAAAAAATAACTCATTTGGCTGAACAAGACCAAATTCACACTGTGACTTAAGTGAAGATTCTTCCTTCCCTTGTTGAAGACCGCATCCAAATGCACACCCGGGTTCAGAAATGAGCAATAAAGGAAGACGAGGCAAAAGTGGACCAACGACGCAAGCCTTCGGAAGATCCCTAAATTAATAAAAAATAAACCATTTGGCTGAATGAATGCAAATTCACCCTGGCATTTAAGAGAAGGTTCTTCTTTCGATTGTTGAAGCTTGCATCCCCAGTATAGCATATAAGCAATTTAACCCCAAATAAGCAATTATAAAAGTGGGAACAAAAACGGAGAAACGGTACAAACCTTTGCAAGTTTCCTAAGTGAATAAAAAATAAACCACTAGGCTAAAGTTAACCAAATTCACACTGCAAGTTAAGTGAAGCCTCTGCTGTCGATTATTGAATGCCAAGATCAACCCTGGATGTTGAGGAAATTGCAAGAATGGAAAACATTGCCACATACTTGAGTTCCGCCATTGGCTGTCACAGTTACACGGAATATGTATTCATAGGTAAAGCTCTTAAGATCCTTTATTATCGTTTTTAAATTATGTTTTTGCAAATTTCTCGCAACAGTATATTTGAAAATTGATTAAAACGAATCGTTGATCGATCAGAAAACCGCGTTCTTTTCCGTCAATTTAATCAGCAGAAGAGCGCTGAAGTTGCCAAGTTTCGAGGAAATGAAAATTTTCCATTAAAACATCAAAATTGAAATTGTGCCAACAGTCCGCAAGAAGCTCTATCTAATTTAATATGAGCTTTTGAGAAAATTTTATTTTAATAGC